TGCCCTTTCCCTTGGTCTCGAGCAGATCGATGTGCAAGGGGACTCGCCCATCCACCCTCGCAGGCCTGTGTCTTTGCGCTTCCATGCGTCTGTTGGAGATCTCAAGGCTCTCGCCTTCCGACGCCCGCCTGACCTTCCTGTGGTGCCGCCGGTTGGCCCGCAGCCTGAGCCTGGGTCGTGGGAGGTCCCCCTTGGGCTGGCGCGTGAGGCTTATCGGGCGGTGCAGGAGGGTGAAGGTGATCGTGTTCGTGCTTTGCTGGCCCCTGGGTGCCGCGCGTGTGCCAGCGCGGCCGAGCGTGACCTCAGCGCGATCTTGGGGGTGAAGGTTCCCAAGGGAGCCAGAGCGAAGCGGCCGCAGATGTATTGGAAAGGCATTTTGAAGGAAGGGGGCCGTGAGCCTGAACCTACCCTCAGGTCGGTGCTTTGGCTGGGCAGCCAACTTCGTGCTTCCAGGTGCTACTTGGGCCCTGAGGGCCTTCTAGAGGGGGGCCGTCAGGTGCCGGCGGCGCTCGCGGAGCCGCCGACGACGGTGGCGGTGGCAGAGAACTCAGCCCATGCGCCTCTGTTTCGCATTGCCGCTGGCTTAGCGCGCAGTCTGCTTAGCTCGGTGGATGATCCTGAGCTGGCCGCCGACCTCGATCGGCACATCTGCGAAGTTTCTGAAGCTTGTGCTACTGCTAAGGCATCCGCGGCCAAGTCTTCTCGGAAGGCATGGAACGAATGGGTGCGTCAGGGGCTCGAGAAAGGGTCGCGTAATGCGCAGAAGGCCATTCGGGACCCTGTGGCCTGGGCCCCCACCACGACTCTCTCCCGCTCTGGCATCGCGGTGTCAGGCCCCAGGAGCTTGCTCAAGGCTGAATCGGCCAAGTTCGTTTCTATTTGGGGGGACGGTGGTGGCCAGGGCCTTTGCGGTAAGGATATGTTGCCATGCCCCCCCCCTCTCGAGCCCGAAATCATCGGGGCCATGTCTAAGAAATATCGGCCCGTCTCTGCTGTCAGCTTGGACGGCTTCCACTGCCGCCATTTCAGCCTGCTCCCTGACGAGGCTCTGATGGCCATGTCTCTGTGGTTCTCGGTCATGGAAGCCACGGGGCCCCTGCCTGTCCAGCTCTCTTGGGTGCTGGTCGCTTTGTTGGCCAAGCCTTGCGGGGGCTTCCGACCCATTGGGATCTTCTCGAGCTGGTGCCGCGTCTGGGGCAGGTGCCGCCGCTTTGAAGCTCTTCGTTGGGAACTCCAGCACAGCCGCCCTTACAGGGCGGCGGGGGCCCACCGAGGGGCGGGGGACGTGGTCTGGAGGCAGGCTTTCAGAGCGGAGTCGGGGACTGTCAGAGGTCAGGTTAGTGCCTCGATGTTTTGGGACTTGCGTAAGTACTACGAACATATCGACCTCGGTTTTCTCTGGGCTAAGTGCAAGCAGCATCAGTTTCCCTTAGGCATCGCGCGCCTTGCTATTCACGCCTACTCTTGCGCGAGGTTCACGACTTTGGGGGGAATTGTCGACGGCCCCCTTTATGCCCTGAGAGGGATCGTCGCGGGTTGTACCTTCGCGACGAACCGTATTAGGGTGTTCGCCTTGGAGGCTTTCGACTCCATCCCGAGGGGGCCCGATTTTGATGTGTACGTTGATGATTTGAGCCTCAGCGCGACTGGCAAGCCCAGTTTTGTTTTGAAGTATCTGGTTTCCGGTGCTAGAGCTCTGCACTCTGTGATCACGTCGACGCTCAAGTGCAAGTTGGCAATGGACAAGGTTGGCATGGTCTCCAGCAGCAAGCACGTTTCGGCTGCGCTCTCTGCGGGGCTCGGGGATTTAGTCGGCGATCCAGCCTGCACTCGAGTGACAAACTTAGGTGTGGATTACACGGCTGGCAGAGCGGTCAGAGCTCCTGGGAAGAACAGGAGTGCCAAAGTTAAGCAGAGGGCTGCAGCGGCCCTCAGGAAAGCTCGTCGTCTCGGGAAGCTGGGCCCCACGCTGGGCCGCAAGGTGGTCAAAGTTTTCGCTTCTGGACCCTTGGCTGGGGCTGTTTATGGATCGGACTTGTATGGGGTCTCTGACAGTGAGCTGTTGTCGCTTCGACGCATGGCCATGTCTTGCGTGAAACCTTCTGCCCAGGGTAGGTCCCTTTCCGTCTTGTGTCTTTTAGAGGGGGACCCCACGTGGAGGGCCAGTTGTGCCCCTATCATCCGCTGGGCCAAGGAGGTGTGGATTCGTCAGACGAGGGCCTTTGAACGGGCCCTGAGTTGGGCTGAGCTTCGGGCTGGTTGGAGTTCTGTTTTCGATAAGGAGGACTGGGCCTGGGCCAAAGTTTCGGGACCGATCTCGGGGCTGAGAATGTCGATGTACAGGCTTGGGTGGACCATGCCCAATTTCACCACCCTCGCTGGCGATTTCGGTCGCGAGATTTCTCTTACGTTGTCCCCGCCTAAGCTGGTGAAGCTTTTTTTGCAAGGAGGCGGTCTTTAGGAGCCCCGAGCGGGAGTCGGGGGACAAGTTCCGGGCTGG